ATATATATATATATATGACATCTGAAACAGGAAAATTAAACACTGCACGATGATGACTAGAATAATAATGGTAAAATGACTTACGACGTTGTTATCTGTGATTACGAAAACACGTGAAGTATGAATGGTCACAAAATGGATTGTGCAATATACAGAATGGCTCATAGAAGGTATATAACCCAGAAAGGGATGAAGATCCGATGAAAGTGGTAAATCAAAAAAGCATTATGAAATGGGGTTAAACACACTAGTTAAAATGAAATTAATGTGTTCCGAGAAGATCAGACAGCTAAGAGGAATAACGCCTGTAACCAATGAAAGTGAAGGTGATGATAGAAACAATAATGGTGTTCAAGGAAGGATACAAAGGCGAACTTAACAAAGAGGAAGGGAAGCTAGTGGGGGCGAGGAGATGCCACGGCCACGGCAAAACAGCGACTGTGCATGCTTCTTTAGTACAGACAGATCTGGTTTTGTTTCATAAACAGCTGAGATCTCCGCTGTTTTAGAGAGCTGAAACGGGAAAACGCGGAGGTTTGGGCGAATTCGACAAACAGTCCTGCAGTCATTGTTCCTGGTTTGTTGAGCGGTGGAAATCAATCGAATGTTTAACAGACGTGTTTTCGTTTGTGTGAGACCAAACTGAAACACATTCTCGTGTGCGTGTAGAGAGCATTCTCTGGCTCCTTGCGGCACCCTCCCTGTCCGCCGACCTTTATGGGGAGGGTCGTAAACTGATTTGTATTCCCTGTCTTCTGCCAACAAGGAACTCTGATCCATACGAGTAGATTGCCAGTGAGTTCGAGACTTTCCAGTTGCCAAGACAACCTAGAATGGGGTGCCTTGTTGAAGGCTTTAGATCGCATAAGAAAATAAGCTCTTAGGATGTTGCGATGCAGCTTGGGAAAGACTTGTTTCAAAGCATATTGGAGACCGGCGGGTGGTGGCTACACATCTGTGATGCTTCATCACCTTGGGGGCACTGAGGTAGGTGGCAAGGCTTCAACACTTTCTTGCGCCGTAGCAGGGATCGGATTTCGTGATTTATCCACGAAGGATAATGTTTACGTTCCTTCGGGACAGTTAACGGAATGAACGGCTGAGTCACTTGTGCAAGTGACTGTTTGAAGACGCATCACGCAACCTCAACGGAGGTTTTTTGGTTGACAGCCCAGTCATCCGAAGAGGCTGCCACATTTGCTTTTCATACGCTGGGTCTAGCTGGGATATCAGCCTGATACAATACGGCTGCTGTGAATCTTAAGACGATCACAGCACGGTAGGTTTAGCAAGGGATGCAAGGCGCTGGATGGAGCATACAGTATCCCTGAAAGAGAATACTAAGTCTAGAACTATGGAAGCATGTTGATGATCATAACTGGTTGCTGCCCTAATGTGCTTTACAGGGGCCAAGAAAAATGATATTCCCGCTAACCCATGATCGGATGAATAGCGTGATGAGTCTGCTGTTTGCCTATCCTTGTCAACCGATAGTGTGTTGAAGTATCCTACAACTAGGCGTCAGCAGTTATGTCTAGATGGTCAACTAACACAAGAGAAAGTCTTGCGTCAAATGTCTATGGATTTTTCCCACCAGTGTAACCACATTTATGGTCTGTGAGTCAATTTGTTGTGTGGACTTTAGTTCCAAACTCATTATGCGGACATTTAACAATCTTAAATGGAATAATACAAAACCTAACTAGTTTCATATGGACAGGGTTTATCACACTTAATTTCAAACATTTCACATTCCATCATCAAATAGGCAGAACATGTAGTTGTTCGAGCAGACGAAGTCAGCTGACAATGAGACCAATTAGCTGCTTGTAGCCTTTATACAATGCCAAAAGCGAGTAGTGGCTCTAAAGAAAACTCTTACAACGACTGAGATAAAAAAAATTAGGTTTCTCTTTTTTATCTTGAAAGGTAGTTTTTAACAAAACACAAAGCTCCAACTAGCTATCTAAGTAGTTTTCAGAGTAGCCTTCAGAGTACCTCTAATCGAATAGTTAACACGATTAGAAAGCAGCGCCCCAAGGCTTTCAAACGCTACGTCGCACTGACCAATCAAAGTGGTGGGATGTGGCACTGCAAGAAGTCATACCCGAGTGACTCTATTGGCAGCTTTAGCAGCCACCGAAGTAACAGGTTAAATCCCTTTAATTCTGCTGAACAGGTATTTTTTTCATAATATAGAAATAACCTAATCGGTCATTGCAGTACCTTCAAGAGTGGCTTTAAGAGTCATCATCGTTACTTACGTCATTTGTATTCATGTTTTGAAAGCTATTAGCGCTTAATTAAGCGCTAATAGCTTTCCAATTTAAAAAAAATCAATTTTGGTTAAGTGTCATGGGTTCTCTTCATTAACTGTTGGCTGAGTTTTGAAATGAGTTCTGATCCAAGTTTTGAAACTCGGGGACATATAAAAAAACTCAATGGAAAAGGATATATTTCAATGTGAAAATAAGAGAAGGACAATCTCCCGCTTTTCCAAAATGAAGGGGGTTTGAATTTTCATTAAGCGTGCTAATACTGCAACTGTGCTTGTTCCACTGTGTTTCTTCCGAAATGTACCTTGAATCTTGTTTCTTAGGCGACCAATGACATTGCGTTCTCATCCAGGAGAAATAGGGTGAGTATGGCATGTATTCACTTTGGTATTTTGTGTGGCTTTTGAACTTTGACCGTTCTCAACTGTCCACTAATGGACATTGGGTTCCAACATAATCGCATTTGCTGATGCTTATTTGTCCTTGTAAATTAATTTACAATTCTGTTATATGACGCACGGATGCATCCGTGGGTCATAACGACATGTCGTTGTGACGAATAGCTTAGTGATTTGTATATTTTCTGGTTTGTGAATATTTGGCTTCACGATGTTCATTCAGTTTATCCAGTCTGATAGTTGGGCTTCTCTCTGGCATTTCACTTTTTACATGTTGTACGACAACATTCAGAGCAAATAGTTTCCCTCATGAATCTTGACAAAATAAGAAGAGTATATCGAAGATGAATTTTGACAGTCTGTTAACATGAAACCTGTTTTACCGTAAATCAGATCGAATGTAATCACACTTAACCTTATTCTAGCATAGGTTATGAGTTTATTGTTAGCAACTCAACGAACAGCAACGACGCCCACCAATTATAAGTCACCTCACTCTAAAAACAGATGGAGACAAACAAAATCAACGTAGAACCTCGCGTACAAGTGCATCAATTCAAGTTGCTACACTGCACAGTAGTACACAGAGAACAAGTGGATAGAAATATAGTGATGTAAAAGTAGACAAAGTTGTGTGAGGTAATGAACAATTTAAAGATGTCAAGGAGTGAATATATCTGCACCATTGTGACCGATTTCCATACATGTCAATAAGGGTTTTCAACCACTGGTTTCTATCCTACGACAGAAACCAAGACGTCTTGGGGACCCAATCAGGCAGTCTACATCTCCCCATATGGCCCGTACCAACTGTCATGGACTGGTGCCAAGTCTTGTTCTGGCCACTGTAAACCCTCTTCCGACTGGATCCAACTCCCCCTAGCATTACATGTCGAGGTAGGTGGTGGGTCGGCATGCACAGTATGTGTCCAGGCCACTTCAGATACTGAAGATCCACAACCCTATCGATTGACTTGGCTAGTACCCTTCACCTGACCTCAACGTCGCTTACACAGTGATTCCACCAAACGTGAGCAGTGCTACGAAGATATCTATGATCAAAACCCTGTAATCATTTCATATCCTTTACTTTCAGAGGCTCTCATAGCCGTATAATAGAACAGGGTTGCGGAGCAGTATACATATCCTTTGATAGGTAGTCAAATATCTCACCAGTCAGCGCCAGAGATTATGCAAGTAGTGAAATACCAAGCGGGCTTTTTGTATGCGAGCTGAGATTTCGTCAGCAACCAGCTCGTTCTGGCTGATGCAACTTCCCAAGTAAGTCAAGTGGTCGGTGCATTCAACCACTTCATTCCTTATCACCAAACTGGCGACATACTAGTTATGGAGCATCATCTTACATAAGTGATAAGTGCATCCTGTTTACTTACTGAGTCGTCGGCTCACTTTTTTCTCTTCCCCTTACCCTTCCAGATTCTCGTGGTCACCACTAAACACTATTGTACGCACCCCACCCTCTACCTACCCACAGGCTAAACGAAAACCTAACAATGGCTGATCGTTACAGGCTGAGCCAATCAGAAAAGCATATCTGGGGTATCTACTGAATCCCATGCCGCGTAACTGAAAACGGTGATCGTCTGTTGCAATTTCTTTCTGACAATCACTTGTTTCTAGCCAAAACTAACTTCAAACATAGAAAGAAACATCTCACTTGATGTCTACTTAAATCAAACCAATGGTGGACGCAAATCATATTGCTATCAGCCATCAGTAGCAACGATCAGCCTTGGTTTAATCCTGTCCCTGGAGTTTCTGAAGGCGGCTTTTGGCTATCAGCCGAGAATTTTCGTGATTGCAAAAGTAGCTCCCAGCAAGTGTGTATTGTTGATCAAGGCTCTTCAATTGAACTCACATGGTTGTATATGGGTTCGTATAAAGTTTTCGTTTAAAATGACGACAAGAATGCCAGGGATGTCTACTGTTAATTTCAGTTTACCTTTGTCACAGACTTAATAGACAAAACTCCACTCACATCTGATATAATAGCGACTAGGCTATTTTCTGGAGGGAAGTCGACTTCGACTATGCAGACAACATAGTCCTGTTAAGCGAAGACTCTGACAAGGTCCTCTGAACACAGCAGCAATTTGATGTGTTTCTCTCTTGTTAAGTATATGATGCTTCAGTTTAAGGATAGCAAATGAAATGGCAGAATGCAATGACCGCTTCACTTGGGAAGTTACGTCAACTCAATGGCTGTATGCGAAATCTCAGTTTAGGTACAAAAGTAATTCCATTATAGTTGATTTATTTTATGTCACACAGTGGAACAGTATTGTTTGGTGGATTACGTTTCGGACATGGTCATATCAAGTCATATCTTGATATAACTATGGGTAAATTGCCTGAAACGTAATTCACTAAACAATACTGTTCCACTGTGTGACACAAAACAAACCAACTAAAGTGGAGTTTCATCCTACCACAGTGCTCAGATTTTCCTCATCTTGATGGATACTAAAAACCTGTCCGTTATTTGCGCTGTTGAGATATTTGACTATCCAGTGAAAGATGAGTATACTGTGTAGCAGTTCGCTCTTCCTTATAATACGACTGTGAAACAGTTATCGAGAATACAAGGTAAGTTGAGCTTACAGGTTTTTGACTACTAGCGTCTACGTAGCATTGATTGCGTGAAGTGGAACCATCGTATGATCAGTGTCAAAGTTAGACGTAGAATACCAGGTGAGAAAAGAGAATTGGTTTATCAAATTGTAAACATTCAACAACTGAAATGGCTTGAGGGTGGATTGCGCATGACAAAGCACCACCTAATTTGAAGTGCAACTTTAACGGAAGTGGGATTTGGCCGGAAGAAAGCTTGAGGTGACTGAACCAAGACTTGGCATCAGTTCATGATGTCCCTGACTGTTGCTCTAAGGCGTGTAGACTACCTGATTGGAGTTCTTGAGTTGATAGGAATGCATGATTAGAGATATGATGAAATGACTGAAAATCGGTCACACCGACGCAGATGTATTTACTCTTCCATAATCTTCAGTACTTTTACTCATCTTCGTCTATTTATTCTCTTGAGTCTCATATGCATTTGTGTTCTTTAGTATCACATTTTTAACCACTTATTGGCAGGATGCTGTGAAGTGTTGGTTTGCTCGTAGCACATTGAGATCGCTCCGTTGTGATTGGTTAGCTCTTATTGTTTGACTGAAGTGATGACCTGATATGACTAGTTGACTCTTCTTTACTGATGGCCTGACCTATACTGCTACCTTGGCGTGGAGGTCGGGCTTGTTTGTCACAGTGACCACATTACCTATTGTGGGTGAAACGCTTGTTTCCTCAGGGTCCTACCATGCCGAAAAGGTCTGTTGGATAGTGGTAAGACGAAAAAAAGTTGCTGTTGTAGTATAAATTGCTACACTATGATGGAGGTCCGGGGTAAAGTAGTGCTGCTCAAATATGACATCAGTAAAGTGTTTTCCTAGTATTACCGGCAGTGTCACACTGATACTGCGTTCGTGGTAGGAAGAGAGCTTGAGAAGAAGATATCTGCCATAGAAATAGCAGACTTCTCCCTGCTCTGCGTTCTCCCGGTGCTGGTGGTATGGGTTTTCTCTCTGGCGTTAGAAGAAACAAGTTTCATTTCAATCCACAGAAGACGGTTTTACAGGCCTCACGCAGATATTCCATGGTCTCTGTGGTCGCACCAGTCTCTCTTTCACGTATCTTAAGAAAAAATATCCTTCCACGGTGTGGGGAAATGGGTAGCGTCAATCACCAGCGTGTTTCCATCATTATTAAAGACTCAATCAAACCTAACGTATCATATTTGACTTTGTCTCCTTTGCCTTCACCTCCTGATACTAATTTCAAGCCCCTTAGACCTTCCACAGTCTATGACTCTGCTACTGTTGCCAACGATCAAAGCCGTCCCAACCTCTTTCCTAGTCTCTTAAGTCCCCGCCATCTATTTCGTGCCGAATCGGACAGCTAGCATCGCTCGCGAGATTTCGAATCTCGAGCTGTGGATGTATGCTGTACTCCTGAGACACGTATACGTGACCTGAGTGTAATTATTAAATTGATCTCATTTGATCATTGTAGTGAATCCTGAAAATTAACCTTACGAATATCTGGAGATCCAATGGTTAGCTCTCGTGAACTTCATGGTGTAGGCATAGCATTGAGTTGCAGAGTAGGAAGTGCTCTCCTCGACTAGATACCAGTCAACAACCGTATGTGTACCGTTCGACTGAGTAGATCTGTGTAAACTAGGAAGGGTAGTTAGATCAACCGATGCCTATTCGTAATCTTCATCTACGTACCAGCCGACTGTAGTTCGGATGATGCAAAGGATGAATTTTATAAGAAACTGTCAATTTCTCTGCAGAAAGCGATACTTTCAGATAATCATAATAACGAGTGACTTCAATACTCAAGTATGGAGGCTGAGCCAATCGGAAAGGCATATCGGGGTATCTACTGAATCCCATGCAGTGTAACTGAAAACGGTGATCATCTGTTTCAATTTTCTTCTGACTTATTTCTGGATAGCACTAACATAAGGCATATGGAAAGTGTCACATGACGTTCGCCGACATGAAACCAAAGGTGGACACAAATGGATCATACTGCTGTAAGCCGCATTTGGAGGCGATCGTTGGAGGATTTCTGTTCTTTATGTAGTACCTGTTTAAACTTGCATCCCGCGCTAGTACGGGCTTATGTTCTGACTCGTTTCACACCCGTAAAATATGATGATGCCCCAAGAACTACAACTTCTGGTTTAAGGATAGGGCGTGAAATGCATCGATCACTTCCCTTACTTAAGAAGTTGTGTCAGCTCAAACGGGCTGGTTGCTGACGATATCTCAGCTCCGATACAAAGGCCTATTTGAGAGTTGCCAACTGGCGTCATCTCTGGCATTGATTGGGCGATATCTGACTACCTATCAAAGGACGAGTATACAACATTGCTGTCTGTTTTATCCCGTTATATGGCTGTGAGGCATAGCCGTTGAAAGTAGAAGGCATAAAGTGATTACAGAGTTTTGATCGCAGTTGTATTCGTAGCATTGCTTGCGCTTGGTGGAATCACCAAGTAAGCGACGTTGAGGTCAGGAGAAGTGCACTAAGCAATATAGGCAAGTCGATTGATGAGATTGTAAACCTTAGTCGACTGAAATGGCTTGGACACGTTCTACGCATGCCGGGCCACCACCTATCTCGATGTGCCATGCTGGAGGAGGCTGGACTCAGTTGGAGGAGGGTTCAGGGTGGCCAGACTAAGACGTGACACCAGTCGATGAGGCCTCTAACTGTTGGTCTGAGTCGTGTGGGGGAGATGGAGACTACCTGGTTAGGGTCCCGGAGATGAAAGGAATCAGTGGTTGATGACTCTCGTTGACATGGCTGGAAATCGGTCACAATGGTGCAAATATATTCACTCCACTCCTTGATGCCCTCCGAAGTTTAGATATTTGCCCTAACCTCTATCTTCAGATTATTTATTCTCTCAAACCACTTTATCTGCTTTGATATCATTCTTCTTCTATCCACCTGTTCTTTCAATGCTACTGTGAAGTGTGACAACTTGAGCTGATGCACGTGTGTGAGGGGTTCTGCGTTGATTTTGTCAGTCATTGACCCTGTTTTTTACGTTTCCTTTCTCTTTATGCACCTTTGCCTACTTAGCTATTCGTCGTATTCTATTCACTTATTCTTTGTGTACTACTGTGCAGTGTGGCAACTTGAACGATACACTTGTTTGTGAGATTCTGCATTAACTTTGTCTATCTGTCTGTTGGATGTGTGGTAGCTTAACTTGATACACTTCTGTGTTAGGTTATTCACTGACTTAGTACGCGTGTCTGTTACTAGAACGTTCTGTCTCGGCTTCTGAAATGCAGTATTCATCGATAGTTGAGATTTTTAGAGTCCTATTCAAACTTGTGTCACCCTGTCTGCATTGACATCCGAATGTTGATGACGACAAAATTTATTGGTACACGTATTTGTGAAACAACCGAATCAGATATCACGCTGAAAGACAACTTTATCGAAGCAACTCTTTAGCTACTCAAATGGTTAAGTGGATACCAGGATTTCCAAAAATTTGTAAACCGTTGAGCTGCAAAAGTAAAAACTAAAAGATTGAAGAACGTCGTTTAGACGAATATACCGCAACAACGTGACGAAAATTATGTAAAAAATGAAGTTAATTTTTTGAGATTGTTTACGTAAAAATTAACTCAGTATTATTTCAATGTACTTTGTACATGATATAATGTATCGCACAAATGCCTGAGCTAATGCGAGTGTTCGTCCTGTGAGTCAGCTTCTTAGTCTCCTTGGAAGTAAAGTCTTATCCACGGGGCAGCGTTATCCACTAGGTCATACCTTAGTGGTTTAGGGAAATGACGATCAACCACTGGGGCATGTGTTCAAACTCCACTCCAACAATAGGTGTGGCTCATTACCTACGGCACGCATGAGCACAAGGTGACTGAATGCGTTTCGTTTTTTCGTCACAGGGCAGCAACATATGCTTTTGCATTCTCACGGCTACTGACTACCGAGGTGGATTTGTTCTTCATTCGTTCATTCCGAAGATTGAAGCGTATTTGTATCACTACTTTGTAGTCATAGTTCTCCATCTCCCTAGTTGAACGTTTTGTACGTATCAGTGTTCACTCCTAGGCGTTCTGTTTCTCAGCGATCGGTTGATGCAATCGGAAATCAGCTTCACTGTATTTGTGCATGTATAGGATAAGAAGTGATGCTCAAAATACGAAATTTTAAATGAAATTTAAACTCTAGAATTTTTAGGCTTTGCATTCCTCAATGAATAAAAGTTACATAAGAGCAATGTTTAATTAAAATCGTCGAATTTTTGTTGTAAATGTATTTGTAGTTAGTGTTTCTAATAAATTAGTTCTCTCTATAGTGCACACTTCTCATTAGTGTAACTAAAGTGATATGTGTTACGTATGTACTTGTTTACCTCCTCTAATATATGTCTGAGAATTAGAAACTTTACAGGGCTCAGTGCTTGTTGTGAATGACCTGACTTTTTGTTTCATAATTTTGTCCTTCACCTGTTGATCGGCAGCCCTACGACGCTGCAGTGATCTTTGGTCAGGTACACGTTTGTCCTCGGAACACAGTTTCAAAGGGGCAAATCAATCAAAACCACTATGCAGCAATCTTAACTTTAAAATTATTCATGATGACAAATAACGTTTGACTCTACATGTTTTTTTCTGGAAATTTCGCAGTTTTCCTGGAGGAAAATGTGATCATTTAGATGAAGGAGATGTGGTTCTCACAGCTTCGAATGAAATCGACATTTGGGGTGTTCTCCCTCGTATGGACCCGCGGGTAATATTCTCACTTTTGATACTTATATTTTCTAATTTGCTGGTCTTTTTAAGGTCGGATTCTAGTTTTTTTAATTCGTTCATCAAAGTATAATTAGCTCTTCGACGACAGTCAACCGGTATCTTGGTGAAGCTGTGACTCATTGGTCTATGCATTAAACTTTCAAACAGTGGGTCGTGAATTCGAATACTACTCCGTTCACTGTGGTCTGAGCAACCAGATAGTATCATTACCCCCTCACAAAATAGGTGTAAATCACTACCTACTACATGAACGTGTACATGGTTGCTGAAATATGACTAACTGGCTGACAGAATCAACTCAGAACCCCTCACACACGTGCATCAGCTCAAGTTGTCACACTTCACAGTAGCATTGAAAGAACAGGTGGATAGAAGAAGAATGATATCAAAGCAGATAAAGTGGTTTGAGAGAATAAATAATCTGAAGATAGAGGTTAGGGCAAATATCTAAACTTCGGAGGGCATCAAGGAGTGGAGTGAATATATTTGCACCATTGTGACCGATTTCCAGCCATGTCAACGAGAGTCATCAACCACTGATTCCTTTCATCTCCGGGACCCTAACCAGGTAGTCTCCATCTCCCCCACACGACTCAGACCAACAGTTAGAGGCCTCATCGACTGGTGTCACGTCTTAGTCTGGCCACCCTGAACCCTCCTCCAACTGAGTCCAGCCTCCTCCAGCATGGCACATCGAGATAGGTGGTGGCCCGGCATGCGTAGAACGTGTCCAAGCCATTTCAGTCGACTAAGGTTCACAGTCTCATCAATCAGTTTGCCTGTTTTGCTCCTAATACTTTAAGTTTGTTGGTTTATTTATGAGTGGTTCTACTCTTTTTAACTTCATACTCGTGTGTCTAAAACTGTTATCTAGTTGCTGATACTGAATACTTTCTTTTTTAGCCGAATAGTAATTGTTCTCCTTTATCGGGAATATGTTTTAGTTAGCAACATGTGAAACAGAATATTGTGAATGTTATACTATTCTATCAAGTAAGTGGTCAAGATTATCTTTATGATGTACTATTTTAGCTACTATGCAACGTTGGAAGTATAGTTGGTAAAAAGTAAATTCAACCAAGTTTCCTTTTTTCAGTTATGTGCCTATCATAAGCTCCACTCTAATATGCAGGTTTCGTAATTAATAGTTAATTGACATTGTAATGGTATAGGAATAATTATATAAAAATAATTAATATATTAAGCGACTACATGAGATTGATAAAATTGTAGAACGTGATCGTAAAAGCAAGCTTGTGACGTCATATTCAAGCTCTTCAGAGGACATTCAACGCTGTTAAGTTACGTCATATCTTCTGAAGTCAGCCAATCCCAGGTGTAAGATTTATAAATGCACCTTTACTGTCTATCCTGTATATATTTTATCAGTTTAACTAATTCTTTGGAGTTAGTTACATAGGACATTCAGTTAGAAAGTCCATCGAATACCTGAGCGACCTCAGTCGGGGCTGAGTAGGACATAAATGCAGAGAGAAAGAGAAGAGTTTCAGTGATTGCACACTTAGTAGATAGCGGTCATAAAATGAGTACAATCAATGCTTTTACAATTATTTGGTGTATACAGTGCAGTCGTTCACATGCTTTACGTATTCATCTACGAAATGTGACGGGATCCTTCGCAACCAACTAAGTCGGTGTACTTAAAAGAGACTTTAGCCACCTTTATCATTGTTTCTCTCATCATGGTGAATTAATCTATAATTCGTTTCCACCTAAATGGACTAAAGTTGTTTTCCAACGACCGTTTCCTCTGTTCAACGTGGATTACATATCTCCCTATTTTTCTATCGCCTTGTGGTCACTTTTCCAAATTCTTCAGTTCTGCTACCAATTCTTTTGCATAATAGAATAATAAACAACTTTATCCGGTTTACTTCGTTACTTTGCCTCATCTTTTCGGTGGTTGTTAGCTTTGTAACTGTAGATTTGGAAATTTAAAAAAAACAGTCAACCAGACACCACTAAAATGGTATTTGTAAAATCAGTTGTCAAACCTACAGAAATAGTGTAGAGCCCATAATACTGACTTAAATGCGTAAAAGTATTTCTTTGCTCAATCCATGTTTTATCTTATCTACATGAGTTGAATAGGATCTACTTTGGTACGGAAGCATAGATAAATTATAGGCTTAAAACTTGAAAAGAAGAAAGAGAACATCACGCACAAAATAAACACCTTAAATTATTAGCATCGATACATTGGAAAAGTGTCTGTTCTTTTCATTATTGACTACTTGAAAATTGTTGTGCATTCAAACGACACGACATGATCGTCCTCACTAATGCTCATGTTCGCTACGTGTATCGGTTTGATTTGTAGAACTCCACTATTTCTCATTTCATCAATGTTCTCATTTCAAATGACATAATAAAAGCAGCTACTGGAGTAGCAGCGTTAATTCTTAATCCAATCGATGTCTTGCACTCAAATTCTGCCTTAAAGTGTTACCTAAGAAAAGAACATGCAGATCACACAGTCTTCATTATCTCACTTCTCTGCATGTAACAAGAAGATACAGAAGCAGTTTCCTCATAATGAAATTACACGTATTGTGATTTCAAGATGTCTGTAGGCGTTTGTTGCTTGTATGACTCATGGGTTAGATCCAACCATTTACAACAGAAATCAAAAAGATGTTAAATGTTGTCCTATTACTGTGATTGGATATCTTCATTTTGGAAGACCTTTGGTCAGATAAATTTCTTAGTTCCAGACTTGATTATCAATTCTCAGTGTCACAGCAACAGGAAGTGACTAAACAATCAAACTGTGTAACAAGTGAGTATATAGAAAAAATGTGGTTATGGCTGATGAGTTACCAAAAGTTATTGGTTTTTTTGCTTCATAAATTTTAGTATTTCCTCATCCAAGAAAAGAAAAAACTCGGAGTAGGCTTTGAAGAAATAATGAAATTACTATTTCGACACCAGTTTGGTGTACGATGCAGTGATAAAGAAGTGACAACTACGGAGTATACGTACATTTACCGCATATTTCAATAAAGACGGATCAATTGAATCCTTAAAATCAACAGTACAGAAACTTTAAAATTCGCTTCCATAGTGTAACAACTTTGTGAGTAATAGCGTGATGTCCAAAGCAACTGGTCCCTGTTTTGATTGACTACAGGATCAAAATATTTCCCCGTGGTGCGATTAAGTTAGGTTAAGGAACCCCATGCACAGCTGTATGTACTGTTACTTTTGACTGTTGATTATTAACAAATATCAAATATTTGGCAACATTTTACCGCTAGAATAATGAAACGATATTTTAACAAAGGTTGATTGTGATTGCAGCCGATGAGCCAGGTATGGCAAATCGTAGGTTTTTTGAAAAAGGGAACAAATTAAGTTTGGATATATTGTCCACGGTACCAGGCGGTTATTGCATAATGTTCCAAGTCAGCATTATCAAGCGAAGAAGCACTAAGATGAAAGATGGAGAAATAGAGAAGAAAGCAGTCAACAGTGATAGGAATCCTTGGGAAGATGACAAGAAGGAGTAGGAAAATACTGAATTCAGTATGTCGATTAGGATGTTGACTATATGTGGATACATTTGAGGTACTGAGATGGATTCTGACCTACTTCACCTAGTGTCCAACCACTGGTTTCTATCATCACGTGCACCCTAACTGCGAAGTCTGCGTTTCCTTACACAACTCAAAGACTTCATGGACTGATGCCATGTCTTAGTCTGCCCTCCCCTCTTCCGCCGAGCTTTTTCCAGTCTATACCTACCTCAACCAACGTTTGGTGAGACAGACGGTGACTAGGCATAAGTAATATATATATATATATATATATATATATATATATATATATATATATATATATATATATATATATATCGGTCCCCTGAATCCATGAGGATTCATGACCTCATCAACTGACTTCCCTTTCCTTCCTAAAACCCTACACATGAGATCCGCATTACTGACTTGGTGATACCACAACGCACGACTCTTGTTATGAAAGCAACGGTGATCGAATACCTGAAGCATTCTCATATTTCCTACCTTTCACGATTATGTTTGACAGCCATATAGTAAGACAGAGAGAACTGTAGCGCAGCACTCAGTTCTCAGTATGCAGTAAAAAATCACGGCGGTGCCATAAATAGCCTAAGAGTTAGCGAAAGCCAACCGAGCTATTTGTATCCATTCCTAGGCTTCATCGGCAACTGAGGCACCAGGGGTGATCTGACTTCTCAGGTAGGTGGAGTGGTCAATGCACTCAACCACTTCACTCCCTATTGTTAGACAGGCCGCTACTGAAGACCAGTCCTGAAGCAACAATCCGCATTTGGGTGGCGAGCAATGCACTTCAAGCATTCTCAAACTGCCTCTCAAAGTGTCCAGAAGACTCTGTCTTTTTAGGGCCTTTGCCTAACAGGACTACGTCGTCTGCGTACTGTGGACCCACTTAGGATTCTCATGTGATACAATCAATCCGTGTAAACCCAGCTGACGAGAGGAGGACCTCCATGAGTATGTCTATGATGAAGTTGAGTAAGAATGCAGAAATTGAGCGAAATTGACGGAAATCACTCGATGTACGCAATTCACCTTAGGTTCCAACGCATCCACCGGTGTCCGAGTACAGAGTCTTTAACAAAGTGATGTTCTTACTCGCCATCCGTTTCAGTTAGAGACTGTCGTAAGACTTCTTGATCCACAGACTCAGATGACACCTTCCTGTAGAAAAAAAACAGTCACTGTTGAGCGTCTATAAGTGTGCTTGTATTCCAAAACCTGATGGAGAGTGAACATATGACTGATACACCCATGAACAGGTCTGAGACTTGTTTTTTTGGATTCGCTGTTCCCGAGCTCAACTAAGAAATCCGATGACAAGAAAATGTAGAATCTTGGACAATGTTCGTCAGGCTGATTCCTGTTTGGTTATCCAAATGTATGCGTTTTGTTAGTTTGTTGGAGGCTGCTACATGACAAAACCTATTATTTGCACCGATCAACGTGCTGATTTGAAAGGCAAAATTTTTATTTAAGTCAAAGTTCCGACTTTTTGCTAAGTGCCAAGAGTCACAAGACTTCATTTCTTCAGTTCCTCGTATGGATCATTTTCAGACACTAAGCAGCTCATAAAATTGGTCTAGATTTTATGCATAAACGAAACTGAGTTCATTAGATAAGTTTTCTTTGTCGATTTCATATACTTCCTAATTGAAAATATGTTTGCTTTATATGCATTTGCAGATTTCTACTTTAGTCTTCTGTATATCCAGTTGTTGGATTTTGTGGGGATTAACTATTTAACTATTAGTGATGAGAAGGAGGTATCAACAGTTATTGACAAGTCGGGACATATTTTATCTCCGAATCCGGAAGAAGTTGCTCACGTTTATATACGGTCAATCAGTTGGTTAACTAACCCCGCTAATTATTCTTATACGAAGTACGCTTATAGTTCTCCTGATTTACAATTCCTATCGAATGACAATCAGCTAGCTGGTACTTATAATGGTCTCATTTCACAACGTCAACAATTCTATGTTGATTTGCCCCCTTTTGGAGCTTTGTCAAATCCTAATTCTTGTGGTCCACGCATATGGGGGTTAACAGTGTTGATAATTATAAATTTCTGCATTGTCTTATTCCAGAGCGAATGTATCAAACGAATCTAGATTCAAAATATTCACGTGTGCCCTTATATGAAAATGTTAGTTTAATGTCAGTCTTTAAGAAAGAACTGCCTTAAATTGCGGGTTACGTACCACCTTCTGTGCACTTTACTGCCACTGGTGTATTGATCGCAATTTTGTACTCCTTGTTTTTTTTTAGCTGATTTTCCTGGAGGCATTTTTTTTTATTTCCTCACTTTAAGATTTTTGAAGTAGATACTAAAATAATTTTTCCTGATGAGTATCTAAAGTTCTTTTAGAATTCAGTGTTATTCACATCTTAGATCAAACAGAGCTGTCTTGTTCTTCGGCGCAAACATTTTTTTAACCAGCGTAAGATTTATTGCGCAGTGTAGGCATTTAATCTCAACCATCGAGTAAAAGTCTTGGAGTTTGTGTCATCTAGACAATGGAATGGCATCGTCAATTGTAATTAAGTCTACGCCTACAGCCTAGTGGATGAACTTACTCCGGTTACACAGTCACATTGTTATTCGTGTACTTAGCCTTTTCATTTCATACTTTCTTATTCTCAGCATATAATATATGATTCGTTGTACAACGTTTTTCAAAAATGTGGTTAAGTAATAATAAACAATACATAATGAATAAAAGAATTGTTGAAATGCTTAGTAATTTCGGGTCCATGATAACACTACGCTGTTAAAAGCTGATTGACCAGGCTATTTCTTACCCAGTGCACAAGCTAAATAAGCACGGCCTAATTTTTCTGTGTAGTTATGCGTGCATCAAGTTGTGTATTTATTTCCTGTCTTCCATAGAGAGAGGTGCAGATGCAGACGATACCTGTCATCAGATAAGAATTTTTGGCCAGCTGTCTACAAGAGTTTGGATGCCTATCCACAACCGTAATTTTGCATGCCTAGTTGTGTACCATTTGCTCTGCTAACAGCCTTCAAAATCCTACGCAATACGGCTTAGTTTTTTTTCCACTAAAAAACAAGGGGAACAATTTATATAGGTGTAAAAGTTGGGCACTGTGATAGGCTTTAATTACATATTAGATTTGTTTATTTGATTTATAAAACACAGTGATTAAGTATCATTTAGTTGATGACGTTTCGAGCATAAATTATCATTGCTCATAATCATATCAATGTAATCACACTACTTTCGACATTTAATTTCTATAGTTACGTCACCTCATATGGTTTGTTTTTATTGGTAGTAAAATCTTCCATATCTCTGGTATAAGTGTTGTGTCACTTCTATTACATGTGTTGGGTGTTGATTCGATGAACAAAGATTCAGTAATTAATCTCTCTCCACCTAGCTATATTAGACTTAAGTACAGTGGCTTTATCCCACCCTATTACATGATTGTATGTTAATGCATACAATGCAATAGCCGATTTTTTTTTCCAGGTTATTGATCTTATTGGGGTATGTCATCCTACATTTAGCTAAGTCCGTATGTTCGGCTATTCTAACTGACCCCGACCGGCTAGTTTGGCCTATGTACTTGACCTCACAGTCATTACATGGAATTTGATAGATTAGATTATTTTTGCTTAATTGGTTGTATTGGATCTCTAAGCCGACAAAGCTTATCTTTGAGTGAGTTTGTAGGTTTAAATGCCACCCTAATACCAGCTTTGTTGAGGATCCCACGTGAAGTTTCTAATGTGCCCTCCTTGTAGGGTAATACAATCGAGACTGTGAACTCCTTTCTACTTGTGTTGCCGTTGTCATTCGTGCTAGTGTTACTGTTATTTTTTCGTTTCTTGTATGCTCGTACGAATTTCTTCATAAACTGCAGAGAATAATTTTTAACTATTAGTGCTTCTTCCATCATCATTATCAACATAGGACCAGGCATTACTGCGTTACGGTCCGAGTTGCCACACCTCATATCAGCACATCAAGTAAAAAGGTAGTGAGGCGAAGGATGAAGATAAGTGAATGCAGTCAAAAGAAATATAAAGTACGAGAAGAAAAGAAAGAGGAGTGACAAAATGGTGAGATTCCGTATAGCGTTGTTAAGATGAGGATAATGTGTGTATACATCTGCGCCACTGACTTCGGTTCTGAGCCATCTCACTTAGGGTCTCCAACCACTGGTTTCTCTTATCTTGCGGACCCCAACCACCTAGTCTGCATCGTCCTACATGGCTTAAACCAACAGTCAGAGACTTCATACATTGGTGCCATGTTTTGATCTGGCCACCTCGGGCCTTTTTCCAGCCTGAACCCACCTCAGTCAACATTGTGTGACGAGGCAATCGGTGACTAGGCATACGTAGTACGTGTCCCAACCATCTCAGTTGATAAAGGTTCACAACCTCGTCGACTGACTTACCTCCTCTCTCCAAAACTCTACACCTAACTTCTGCATTACTCACATGGTGACACCACGGAATACGTCCTATACTAGGAAGGCAACGGTGGTCAAACACCTGAAGCCTTCTCCTCATGTCTTCCACCTTCAATAACCATGTTTCACAGCCATACAGTAGAACAGAGCGGACTGATGTGCAGTACACGCGACCCTTAACAGAAGTGCTTCTTCCACGTGTTTCAATTCCTTGTTTAGTTCCTTTCACTGTCTATTCAGTTTTTTAGCTCTATCACTTAGACATTTGACTAATCCTGCCTTAACTTACATTGGATGGGATGACTTAAAGTCTAGATACCTGTTGGAGGAATGTGTCTGTTTTCTATAGACGATAGTATCTAAACCACCGTCTGTCCTTCGTTTTATCTTGCAATCTAACAGGTAATTCTTGTTGTGCATTTTCTACCTCAAACGTGAATTGGATTGCTCCTGCTGCTAAGTTTGCATGTGTGAGGAAATTGTCGACATGTTCCGATTTCGACACAGTGAATGTGTCACCCACATATCACCACCATATTTTTGGTTCATGACTAAACGTTTGTAAAGACTTGTTTTTCCCAACTATCCATAAATATATCTGCTACGATTGGGTATATTGGCGATCCCATTGCTACTTCTGTTTGTCTGTATATTTTGTCCTGAAACTTGAGGACTGTGGGGGTCAGGCACGACTATACGCCTAATATGATCTCACCAACCAATATCTTAGTTCTGTAAGTTCTGAGTCAAATTTAGTTGACTTCTAACTGCCTCCAGTGCCATATTGATTTTTACTTTAGTATGAACTTGTTACATCAAAGCTAACCATTTTTTCATTTTCTTCTATATGTAGGTTA